TTATGAATTATGCTCTTCATTGTTATCAATATACAGGTGATGATTCTTGAATTGTTAATATTCAGGTATACTTCAGTGAGCAAACACATTTGTTGGCTGTAGTTGCTGTTCAAGGGAAATGTCAAGTCAGAATTAAGGATGATCTACTGTCAATAAATTACCCTGCAGTCCACGAGCATGCCTTCTTCTGTGAACATCTTTATGATCCTGTTAGAGGAGCTATCAAACAGGTGCAACCTGTATACTTCAACTAGATAAAATTAAATATTGCATTAATTTTGGAACATAATAATTTAATCAACAATCTTAGCCTCAACGTGTTTGATAAGGCTATGCAACAAGCTTATTAATTTGTTATTTGACTATTGCAGTTGCCTAGCAATGTCAGGCTTAACTCAATGATTGACGAGTCCATGTCAAGAAGGAAGAAGGGAAAGGCTATAGAAGGTGAGGATGATGAGCCTGTCAAGCAGAAAGGCGAATCTTTGAAGAAACAATTGGCCACTCTCAATATCTTTGCCGGTTGTGGTGGTCTGTCTGAAGGTTTGGAGCAATCAGGTAACTTGCACAGTTTTCATCATTGCTTAAACTTACTTGCCAGGGTGAGCATGTGTATCGCATTATCTGTTTGCTTATAGAATATTAGAAGTTATTTATTATTGTGTAATAATATCAACTGGAAATTGCCCACAGGTGTATCACAAAATAAATGGGCAATTGAAAATGAGGAACCTGCAGGTGAAGCATTCAAGCTCAATCATCCTGAGGCTTCAGTGTTTATAAACAATTTCAATGTGATCCTTAGGTATGCTTTCTTTTTGAGCTGCAGAATGGATTACATTTATACTCACTTCTGTATTACTTTAGGGTTTTTTTTAGGGCTTTTTAGGGTTTGATATCAATCCTATGCATTTTTACTGTATACTCCCTGTGTCCGTATTTCTTAGCCTCAATTGTATTTTTTGGGGTCAATCTTTAAAAACTTTGACCACGAATTCTCGCTAAACTATATGAAATAATAGTCATGCGGATTCTTGTTAGATTTGTTTCAATGTGTACTTTAAGAATATCAAATTCTAATAATTTTTTCGCATACAAATTTGAAGACATTCATGTTCTAATACATGTCTCAAAGATTGTGATAAGTCAAACGGGCAATCAAAGAGGGACGGAGTATATATTTATCATACTTTTGAATTTTTTTTCTGAAAACAATGACCTTTTGGCTTTTGCTTGCAGCCTTCCACTAGAGTATTTCTACTATGTAAATACTTATATAATAAATTTGATCTAAACTGGCTTGCAAGTATGCTATTGTGGACGATGGCATCATATTTCATCTGTACTTATTTAAAGGCCTTGTACAGCGCAATCATGTCAGCTTGTGGGGATGAAAATGACTGTTTATCTACTCCTGAAGCTTCAGAGGAGGCAAAGAAGCTTGATGAGAAGGAAATTAAGCTTTACCTAGACCTGGGCAAGTAGATTTTATTAATGGAGGGCCACCATGTCAGGTATATGCATGTCTCCTTTCTCTCAACCCTATTTTCAGTTCCCAAATATTGACAAATACTAATTATCTAAATTTCACTATGTTGCAGGGGTTTTCAGGAATGAATAGGTTTAATAAAAGTGCTTGGAGTAAGGTTCAATGTGAAATGATCCTAGCTTTTCTGTCGTTTGCTGATTATTTCCGGCCTAAATATTTTATTTTGGAGAATGTGAGGAATCTTGTGTCATTTAACAAAGGCCAGACATTTCGTTTGACCCTGGCTTCTCTCCTTGAGATGGGCTATCAGGTAGGCTATTGTCTATTTTCAATTTTTTATGGTAGGAGGTTGCATAGTGCTCTGAAATGGCGTACTAAATTATGACTAGCAGAGATTAGAATGAGTTTCTCAGGAAAGTTCCTTTTAGAAGGTCCTATAGATAGCTCATATTCTTTCTGTGCGACTTCTGAAATTATGGTGAAACAATTTGTCAGGTAAGATTTGGTATTCTGGAAGCTGGAGCCTTTGGTTTTCCCAATCCCGTAAACGTGCTTTTATCTGGGCTGCATCTCCTGAAGAAACACTGCCTGATTGGCCAGAGCCAATGCATGTTTTTGCTGGTCCAGAGCTCAAGGTCACTCTGGACAGCAATACTCAGCATGCTGCAGTGCGGAGTACAGCAACTGGTGCCCCATTTCGTTCGATTACTGTCAGAGATAGTATTGGAGATCTCCCCGCAGTAGGAAACGGGGCTTCTCTTGCGGCTATGGTGGTGAGATGCCTTGCTTGACATTCATTTTTTTTCCCATAACAATTTCCTTGATTTTAAATTTTTAATGCACCTTACATTTTCTTAAAGTTATTGTTACATGTATCAAAGTACAAAAATGAGCCTGTATCTTGGTTCCAAAAGATGATCAGAGGGGATATGTTGACTTTAACTGATCATATATCAAAAGAAATGAACGAATTAAATGAAATACGCTGCAAAATAATTCCCAAACGCCCTGGTGCTGACTGGCGAGAACTACCAAACGAAAAGGTATTTCTCCCATCAGAACTTCCTACTTAGTGAGCTGGATAATAAAAATTTACATATATGTTGTCTTCCTTTTAGTGTTTTTCATTGAGCTGTTTGTAATTGAACTCTATTATTGTGATCTATGATTTTTTTTTTTCTTCATATATGTGTGTTTTTTGGGCTCAGAAAGGCCTAACTAGTTGAACTCCATGTCCTGACAAACATTTTTCTGTCTGCAGGTCAAGCTTTCTACTGGGCAGATGGTTGATTTGGTTCCTTGGTGCCTTCCAAACACTGCGGAAAGGCACAACCAGTGGAAGGGTCTATTTGGAAGGCTGGATTGGGAAGGAAACTTTCCAACCTCTATTACTGATCCACAGCCCATGGGCAAGGTTGCCTTGGGATGTGTTTTCATCCTGATCAAGATAGAATAGTCACAGTTTGCGAATGTGCTCGATCTCAAGTAAGTCATTGCAGCCTTTTGATTATCCATGATGCTACAGGCCCCAACACCAATACCCTCATAGAGAGGGAACCTTAAATTTTTTAACAGACCATTATTTTCAAAAACACATTCCTCAATTTATAAGTTAATATTGATCGTCTTCAAAATAAAAAAAAAGTTAATATTGATCAAGATGGATTATCAATGCTTGTGATTTGTGAAAGTTTGTTTTCATTAATTTGTTCGTGTTTTAACGTCTTTTTAACTTGTATGATTTGCTCCTGCAGGGTTTTCCAGACAGCTATAAATTTGCTGGCAACATCCAATACAGGCACAGGCAAATTGGTAATGCAGTTCCGCCACCTTTGGCCTTTGCTTTGGGTAGGAAACTCCAAGAAGCTGTTGACAGGAAATGTGAAGTCTGACAATATCATTTCAAACCCAGTACTGGATCTGGCTGCATAAGAGGCCAGAATACCTAGAAATTGTAATTAGTGCAGGTAACTGTATAGGTAGAGGCGAATTAAGAACTTTGTATGAACTAAAGAATTGATATTGATGTGATGAATTATCTTTCAGTTCGTCATTGTCTAGATATAATGAAATGCAGTAGTAAATCTGAACCTGACCATCATTTGAAGGATGTAATTTTCAAACTCTTAAACATGAAGTACTCAACCTGTATGTCTAATATACATACATTATAAAAGCTTACAAATAACTTTTTTCTTTCAACTAAGCAAGATTTAATTCACTTATAGTAAGACTTTTCAAAGGTTTGGGTTTCAAATCTTGCTAAATGAGCGCGTTGGGGGTTGGGTTGGGGTCTTCTTTATCTCTTCCCTCTACTCCCAAGTACTTGACCCACATATACAGGACCAAGAAAGTGGTTAGGTCCATCTCTTCACATTTAAAACTGTTACGTTTTCTATGTTTTAAACTCAATAGCATTTCTCGATCCAAGCATTGTCTTTGATAATTCATTACGAAATAATCAGCATTCTATATAAGATTGTTATACTATGGGGATGCTGATAAAAACAATAGATATTATTATGTTTAATATTATCTATAATGTTGGATATTTATAGTAATATTTGAGGTTATTTAAGAACATATGATGGGCAACGTCACTGATATCGTCATAGTTTAGACCTCATGCATATTTGTAATGTTTGAAATGTTGAGAGTGTTGAACTTAATTGAGTGTATTTGTTGATGTTTATCATAATGTATGATAAATATGAGAATGAGGGTGTTGAATTGTGTGAGGAGTTGTTGAATTTGCATACACTAATCATAGCAAATTAAAGTTGGAACTGGTTGTGTATAGGCTTTTATTTGCTGAATGTTGGGTGTTAAACTGGTGTGCAATATCCATGTACGGTATTACTTATGATATATAGTGAACGACAACACCTTTTTAAAATCAAGTATTATTAATTTTGTTAATCAGTTTTGCCAACGGTTATGTTAAACAGAGATATATGAAATTAAGACATTTATAAATTATCGTTAGGATTAGGTTTGTGTATTGATTTTTTAATGACCACAATCATAAGTCTGTTAGAGGTATTGAGATCAAAATTAATTGCGAAATAAACAATGATAACCTAAGACACTTTTGATTTGCATTACATACCCTAAAATTGATGATACCCACATGATTAAAACACAAACAACAGTTAAGTAGAGAAAAAATTTAAAAAATCGAGTGATGAAGTCACTAAGCATAATCACACATGACACAACCAACCAAAGTAGAAATCAGCGCGTGAAATAAACACGAGTGGTGAAACTTCCAAAAAATAACCCGTAGAAGAAGGAAAAATGGCTAAACAAAACAACTCACATTCTTCAAAATCCAAACTCCCTTATAAACACCACGCTCCTCTAACAAGGCGGTGACATCCACTCTCTCTCACGCTCCACTCACCTGACGCCGTCTCTCTCGTCGGCCGTCAAATTAGCCTCTCTCTTCTTCTGATTGGACAAAAATTCTTTTTCATTTTTAAAAATTTAATATAATTGGTATTTTACAGAGAGAGAAAAACACAGAAACACCGGTAAAAAAAAGAAAAAATCCAGCGAAGAAGAGAGAGAAAAGATTTGTATTCACTTTCGACTTTCGTGGCTTTGATAGATAGATAGATAGAGAGAGAGAGAGAGAGAGAGTGAGAGAAGAGAAGAGAGTGTGATAATACTAATTTTCTCTCTCCTCAATTTGGGAACTTCTTAATTTTGAATCGAAAAGAGGGAACGATCTAGGGTTTCATTTCTTTTCAAATTAGGGATTTAGTGATGTTTAATTATCTGGATTTTTTCAGCGATCTCAACAATTAGGTATTTATTATTTTGAATTTTAATAGTTTGGGTTGAGATTTTTTTTTTTTAATTTTTTTGGGAGGGAGGGTTTGAAATCGGGGAGAAGATGGAGGTAGATTCGTCTTCATCAATGGAGAACGATAAAGATCCTTCTTCAACACCAAACAATAACAGTAACTCTCCATCTCCGCCACCTTCGTCTTCTTCTTCGGCTTCGGCTTCGGTTTCTCAAACGACGCCGTCTTCGTCTTCTCCAATGGAGAAAGATGTACAACAGCAACAACAACAGCAAGTACAGGGACAAGGGCAAGGACAGATAGTTGGGCCTCGGTGTGCGCCGAGTTATACGGTGGTGAATGCGATAATTGAAAAGAAAGAGGATGGGGCTGGTCCACGGTGCGGCCATACTTTGACGGCGGTTCCGGCGGTTGGGGAAGAAGGTAGTCCAGGTTATATTGGGCCGAGGTTGATCCTTTTTGGTGGTGCTACTGCTCTTGAAGGAAATTCTGCTGCTGCTGGAACTCCTTCTTCTGCTGGAAGTGCTGGCATCAGTATGTTTCTTTCTATATTTGCAACATTTATTTTATTATTCCTTTCTTTTTTAATGTATTATAATTCTAGTATATAATTTACTTAAATTACACTGTTAGATTAAAGTTAGGGTTGCTGCCTGTTTGAGGTTAAAGTTGGCAGATGTGAACTTATTGAGTTGTTAGTTATTCATCATTTCGGCTTTATGCCTTTCCGGAGATGGAAAAAATTAAAAGATTTTAGTAGTGGTTAGGGGTTGATTCTTGAGTTGTTCAGGTTTAAAGAAGATGATTTGGATGTTGGTGACTTGGGATTAATTGTAGTGATCACCATTTGTATCAATTTTTCTGATGCCAAGGAGCCTGTAACAACAATTACACTGTTATCCCTGAAAATAGAACAATGATGGTGTTTAAAGTAGATATGATTTCTAGACCATTGTTGTTTTTTATTATTTAAGGAATGGTTACTAGTTAGAGTCATTTTCCAGCACGTGACTGCTTTTGATCTTGGAATGGAAAGTTTAAGAAATTCAATCGGAAAATAGGACATCATCATTATTTTGGTGTCATTTGTTATTTTACTTTCAAAAGTTGTGCTCTTGTGAGTCTGTTGTGATTGAAACTATGCCTCTTTGCATGGCAGGGCTGGCGGGTGCTACAGCAGATATTCATTGTTATGACGTGTTAACCAATAAATGGTCTAGGTAAGAGGAGTTTTTCTTGGCTTTTTAATCATGAATGCAGTCTTATATTAATGTTTTTTTGATTGTGACCAAATTATGGGATATCATGAAGTGATGAGAGAGATTATACCTGAACAAAATTTCACGTATTTGTGTGTTCCAACATCCAGGATTACTCCCATTGGAGAGCCTCCTACACCTCGGGCAGCTCATGTTGCTACAGCTGTTGGCACTATGGTGGTTATACAGGTAGGTTATAATTTAAACCTTGTACCTGGGGCGATGACATACTTTGTCCTTCTCATTATTGACTGCTGCCACCTATAATTTTGTGTAGGGTGGTATTGGTCCAGCTGGTTTATCTGCTGAGGACCTACATGTTCTTGATCTTACCCAACAAAGGCCACGTTGGCATAGGTTTGGTGTCTAAAATGATGACTTCATCTATTATTTAGTTTCTGTAACATTGTTTAGCTAAGGGGATATCTATGACTAACTTAGAAGTTTTGACTAGGGTGGTGGTTCAAGGCCCTGGACCTGGGCCACGTTACGGACATGTCATGGCCCTTGTGGGACAAAGATATCTTATGTGCATTGGCGGAAATGATGGTGAGTGTTTTTTTTTTATTCCCCCCTTCGCCTCCCGCAATCCTTTTTCTCTATGACACTTGTATAATGTTTTTTGTGCTCTTATCTGGCACTCACGCGACCCAAAATATTGACATCCTGTAGGGAAGCGACCCTTGGCTGATGTCTGGGCATTAGATACTGCGGCAAAACCATACGAGTGGAGGAAATTGGAACCTGAAGGTGAAGGTCCCCCTCCATGCATGTAAGATCAATCTTCTACCTACCCCCCTATTTTTTGTCACCAAAGCTACTTCGCTCCTTTTACTAGGGTGTGACCCCCCTTGATAACTGTCAACAGGAACTAATTAGCAATTGTACTCTGTTATTTTTATACATAGTTTTGCTTGCAAGATGACTTTTTTCACTTATCATTTGGCTTTTTTTTTTTTTTTTTTTTTGGGGGGGGGGCTGGAAGGCAGAATGTTTATCACCAATTCATATCCTTTTTTTTTTTAAGGTAAGGGGATGAGTTTGGGATGAGATTTGCTGTAAATACTTACAGAAGTCAGCGTAACTGGCAATCTTCATTAGTGTGAATAATACAGTTTGGGAAGCTCAAACTAGAATTCTCTACGCCACTGTTAAAGTAATATAACGGTCTTAATGCTCCTGGAAGTGTAACCTTTCATTCATGATGGTAGATATTATTAACACCCATTTTATAATAAATCAGACACCAGGTGCTGCTTTTGGGATGGTAAAAGTTGCCTACAGCCGTTGTGCTGAAGCCAAAACACTTACATTTATGCAATTTGATTTTTATGAGGGTTATGGCCTGGTATTTGAAACACTTTTGCATGATTAAAGGCCTTGACTGCTCAAGCCAAAGATAATGCTTTGGGCTTGATTTTTTTTCAAATGGTTAAGAAAGAAACAGTGATTCAATAATGAAGGAGGGCAAGACCTGCTTGATGACTGATTGACTGACTGTCAACAATAACTGGCCTCTGTTGTGGCAGTTGCTGATTCCTCACAAATGGGCTCTGTTATTTATATGGACAATGATGCTTTGAAGATGATTTTCTCTCCTTTCTTTTGGATATTTGAGGGGGTATGATGGTACTAACAATTCTGATGTAGGTAGGACCGTAGGACTGTAGAATTATATGCTTGTTCCTAACCCTTTCCCTTATTATTTGGGTAAATGGGGTGTAGTTAGCCACTTAGCCCTTAATACTCACAATTTCACAGAAGTTAGCAAAATAGATGGTTTGGGAACTGAGATGTTTAAACTGGAGTCCTGTATGTGTATGGTTGGCGCATCATGCTTCCGCTAGTAACCTTCCAATCATTGTGTCAAAGGGCATTTAAGCTTTTCCTAATTTAAGAATAACAGGATTGAGGAGTTATTTGCAGTTGTGTTGGAATTGGAATACTTGCAATTGTGCAAATTGATCTCCATAAGGGTTATGGGTGGATTTTCGAGAAAATCTTGCATTGTGAGGGTAAGAAGAAAGATGATATCCATATCGTGCTGTATTTTTGAGTTTAATTGTTCAGGCAAAGAGAATTCTTTAGGGCTGGTTTTCTAGAAATTAATTAGAAATAATAGTGGTGGATTGGATGAATATTGGGCCAATAAAAAATATTATTTAGAGTTAGACTGAGAGGGGTTGGGGGGGGGGGGAGGGAAGGAGGGGGTTGAGATATGTAAGAATATATGTATAAGGCCAAAAAGGTTGATGCCAGCGTACAGGCTACGACCCATCTATAAATAGGCTATTTTGCCAAAAAAAAAGAGTTAAGGTCTTTTTGTGTAACAATCATTAGTAGTAAAATATATTGGAAATGAATTAGTATACTTAGATGCACATAGTGAGTCCATATCATGTGTATGACTCGTATTGAATTTGTTTGAGAATTGTGTATGTTTGAGAGTCATATGGAACGTGCTCCTAGTAGCGACCTTATTTTTCAAATGTGCCAGGCTATTGAAGGTACAAAAAGGTATGTTTTTGAGGCAAAGACGAGTGTCATACATGTCATATGCATTCTAGATTTTGCTTCAATAGAGGGAGAGAGAGAGAGAGAGAGAGGGAGAGAGAGAGAAAGAAGAGGGAGAGGGAGGGAGGGAGGGAGGGAGGGAGGGAGGGAGGGAGGGAGAGAGAGAGAGAGAGAGAGAGAGAGAGAGAGAGAGGGTCTACAAGTGCTGTGTACTATGCATAGCTGAAGCAAGCAATGTGCTCACTTCATCACTGATTGGAAATCACCACCTTCTGAATTTTATACATAGTTTTTGAATGATCATAGACTTAATATGTACTGTCTTGCCTCTGCGTGACTTCACTATTAAGTGTTGCCAACTTTCCATCACTTTTATGTCTGTGTCTTCGGGTTTACCTGCTTGACTTTCTTCCTCTGTGCTATTGCTTAGGTATGCAACTGCTAGTGCTCGTTCTGATGGTCTTCTTCTACTCTGTGGAGGGAGGGATGCAAACAGTGTGGTAAGTTAAAATTTGAGTTTAAATTTTTTTTCGTCTTGACTTTTCACAAATAGAAAAGAGTGAAGATATTGAATAGAAAGCAACCATTAGTATAAGGTATAACATTATAGTGAGAATGGTTCCTACGTTGGCTAAATATATTTCATTAACCAAAGAGGACAATAATATGGGGTAAACTGAAATAGAAAAGTTAAAGGGATATTCTATTAACGAATGATGCAATATTGGCAATGCACTTCTTGCTTATTACTTGCCCTTTATTGTTTTTTCTCTTGACCAATTTCAGCTGTATGTATGGCAGATTTTTATTTTTTTTGATAACTACCTACATCATTTTGGGACTAAGGATTTATTGTTGTTGTGGTTGTTGTTGTTGTTGTTGTATACCTACCTACATCGAAATTGTATTTAGGGAAGTTGTTCTTCCTCCACGACCTCACCTTCATCAATTTTGAAACTTTCACAACATGGATGCATTCAAGAAGCTGTTAAGTATGAGATTGATTGAGCTTGCATTTTAAACTTCTTATAGTTGCATGAATGTTCTGTCAGGTGGTAGAAAGAACTAGAAGTGCTGCAGTCTTGTTAAATTGCTAGAATTTAGAACGCCACTATTGCTGTCATCACTCTTTCTGTTCTTTGGAATGCTTTTTGTCGTGACTTCTTTTACATGTTATGCCACTTGCAAAACCTTCTGATATATATGGCTACGTTTTCATTCTTATGCTATAATTTTGTCTTGCTTGTTTTTTGAAGCCGTTGGCGAGTGCATATGGACTTGCTAAGCATAGAGATGGTCGGTGGGAATGGGCAATTGCTCCTGGTGTTTCACCATCCCCTAGATATCAGCATGCTGCGGTGGGTTTCATTGCCATCTCATTTCAGATTGTTGTCATCTTTGTATTTTTATTTTTATTGTATATTTTATTGTATATTTTTTTTTTCTATCGAACAGCCACTAATATTTATTGTACATATAGGTTTTTGTGAATGCACGACTGCATGTGTCTGGAGGTGCACTTGGTGGGGGGCGCATGGTGGAAGATTCATCCAGTGTGGCAGGTACATGTTATTTTATCTACTGTTCTTGAGATTGTTTGTTACTGCTGTGTGGGCCTTCATTCTTATTCTGAACCATACTCTGGTTCTCTGTTTATATTTAAGTTGGTCCTACAAGTTGATATTCTGATTTAAAAGGGTAATATTGCAATATTGTTTCTACCCTAGGAGTAAATATATTGTGTAATATTTTTTTAAGCTGACAGAACTGTGAATTGATCTATCTATTGTCATTTACATCTTGATATATATTCTTCATTAATCAATTCCGATTCAGAATTTTTAAGTTATAAGAATTTGATGCTTTGTCCTTGACAGTTCTGCTCCTCCTTAAGTACACTCTAGATTTTCTGCCATTTACATGGTACTTGGATTTGTCTCGTTTCTTTTGTTTTGTAAATGTTTTTTCTTGTCTTTCTTAACTTTTACCCGCTATTGCAGTGCTGGATACAGCAGCAGGAGTTTGGTGTGATACAAAGTCAGTTGTTACTAGTCCAAGGACTGGTCGGTATAGTGCTGATGCTGCCGGTGGAGATGCTTCTGTTGAGTTAACAAGGCGGTGCAGGCATGCTGCTGCTGCAGTTGGTGACCTGATTTTTATCTATGGTGGTCTACGCGGTGGTATGACAGCTTAGTTTCTATGATGGTGTTTTTTTTGTTGCTGAAATGAGCACCAAATCAATTGTCAATTGTATTTTATCCTTATGACTGCTATGATTACGAAGTTTTCCTACTGGTTTCCATCTCTGTTTTCCTTTTTTGATGTGTTACTTTTTCTGGTCAATCTTTAATCTTGTATCTTTATTGGTTGAATGACGGAGTCCTATTTTTGTTTTAGGTGTGCTACTTGATGACTTACTTGTTGCTGAGGATCTTGCTGCTGCGGAGACCACAAGTGCTGCTTCACATGCTGCAGCTGCAGCTGCTGCTTCCAATTCACCACCAGGAAGATTACCTGGAAGGTATGGTTTTGCCGATGACAGATTACGGGAGAATGATCCTGAATCAGTGGCCGATGGTGCAGTTGTGCTGGGGAGTCCTGTTGCCCCCCCAGTAAATGGTGACATGTATACAGATATAAACCATGAAAATGCCATGTTGCAGGGAAGCCGGTGAGCTAATGTCAAATTTACAGACTTGCTTGAGTTTAAGCTGTAAGATGGCTACTTAATATTTCTAAATTGAAGAGACTTACTGACACTAAGTATTTGCAGGAGGCTCAGCAAAGGAGTTGAGTATTTGGTTGAAGCCTCAGCAGCCGAAGCAGAGGCTATCAGTGCTACGTTGGCTGCTGCTAAAGCACGTCAAGTTAATGGTGAAGTAGAACTCCCAGATAGGGGTGATCGTGGTGCTGAGGCTACGCCTAGTGGAAAGCCTATACCAACTATGATCAAGCCAGACTCTTCTGTACCAATTAGTACCCCTCCCCCAGGGGTTAGGCTCCATCACAGAGCTGTGAGTTTTTCATTCCCAATCACGCTAAAGTTTTTCAATGGTCATATTCATGGTTCTTTTTCCATGCACAAAATAGAAAATACTTGTAAATATCTCCGGTCTTTATGAAAATACTGATTTCTCTTCTCTCTAGTTACCTTCCTTTGTTAGTTGTCAAATTTCCCATTTTCTATAGAACCCAAGTTTACAAAAAGTAGCCTTTCATATGAGTAGTGCTATTACTGTTTTTTCCCCTCCATCTAATTTAATTTGTGGCATTTTAGGAAATATAAGCATAACGTATTGCTATGTTGTGAAATCTTGCATCTTTCTTGACATCCTGAATTAGTACGACTATTGGTTCTAGTTAGGAGGAGTATGTTTTGAACTGAGAAATGGTATTTTAATGACCCTGAGCTTTCTGCTTGCAATATACACGAATTATTGTTGAATAACCTCTTTTGGGTTTTTCAGGTAGTTGTAGCCGCAGAGACTGGCGGTGCTTTGGGTGGCATGGTTAGACAGCTATCTATTGATCAGTTTGAGAATGAAGGCAGGCGTGTTAGTTATGGGACCCCAGAGAATGCTACTGCAGCAAGGAAATTGCTTGATAGGCAAATGTCGATCAACAGTGTTCCAAAAAAGGTATATGAATTTTTCTCTGTTCTAATTTCATAAAAGTGCATAAAAAATAGAGTTGATTTCTTAAAGTCCCACAGAGCCTACAATCTTTTAATAAAGAAGTCAGTGAAATCAGAGCAGTTATTGAGTCTTTGAGAATGCGTTGCTGTTTTTTTTATTTCCAGAACTTGTTTAAGTTTAAAGTTCATACATGCCCTACTTACTTATGACATGCATTCATACTGTGAATCTGGATCCGTCTTAGTCTGGGTTATATGTGTGATTAACGGAGTGCTCCTTGTATGTGAGACTCTGAGTAAGCTTTAATGAAATCGCCACACACATTTGCTAGAACTAAGAGCAAGATGTGCCAGACACATTTGCTAGAAATAAGTGCAAGATGCCTTTTAAGAGCATGAGTCCATTTGACATTTTGCCTTTTGATCTCCATCATAACCCTGGTTTTTTATATTCTCTGACTCCCATGTCCTCAGGCCTCACATGCAACACATTATATTTCTACTAATAAATATTCACTGCTTCGTGTTTGCCTTCATACGTCAATACTATCCTTCCCTAGATGATACAAATATATTTCATAGTACATGCCACTTTCAAAGGTAGTACTAGGTCATCAGGAGAATATATTGCTTTTATCTTAAAACAATGTATCTAATGTTCAGCCTATAAGGGATAAGCCATGAACCTTTTATTGTTGTTGTAAGGTTTGGCTTTTTACACAAAAAAGATGAGCAATAAGCATATATAAAATTATATATTGTTCTTTGTGTGAGTCTGGCTTTGAGTATGTGTGTAGAAAATGTGAATTTAGTTTAAATGCTTCAGTAAGCCCAATTTTATTACCCCCTAACTCCTTTATTACCTCCCTAACTTCCTACGGCCATAAGTACGTTTTGTAATTGATTGTCATGTAGGTGTGTGCTGATTTTGTCTGATGTCTATAATGTAAGCCAAATTTCAGCTTTCTGATTGTGTTCGTTTTTCTTGCTTTTATGGGCATCTGTCTCACCTCTCTCTTTCTTTTCAGGTTGTAGCACATCTTCTTAAACCTCGAGGGTGGAAACCTCCGGTCCGCCGACAATTTTTCTTGGACTGCAACGACATAGCAGATCTATGTGACAGCGCAGAGCGAATATTTGCTAGTGAACCAAGTGTCCTTCAACTTAGAGCTCCTATAAAAATCTTTGGTGATTTGCATGGGCAGTTTGGGGATCTTATGCGACTTTTTGATGAATATGGTGCTCCATCAACGGCTGGGGATATAGCGTAAGTGTTAACGTTGTAGCTAATTTTCATTTTAGCTGAATAATTTGTACTCAGTTTTATTTATGTTCGGATGTTTAGCAGCCTGATTCATGGAGTTCTAAAATGCGATTGCGATATAGCTAGTTTGGAGCTTAGTTTTAAAAAGCGCGCCTCAAGAGCGCCTACGCGCTAGGCGAGGTGAGGCGAGGCGCAGCCCAAATTGCCTCGGTCTTCCTAGGCGCAGCGCATTCCAGAAGGCGCCAGAAAGCGCGCGCCTCAGACCGCCTCCAGCAAGGCGCAAGGCGCACCGCCTTGGCCGCCTCATGTTTACAAGCGAGAGAAATAGTAGATCTGAGTCGAATAATAACGAAAAATCATATTTAACAAAACAAAACCTTACCCAGTCTTTAGGAAGCCATTTCAAGCAAAAACCCTCAATAAATTGCATGAAATTACTTCGATTCAACACCAAATTGAAAAGCCCTGATTCTATAGAACCCTAATTTTATAAATCCCTAATTTGCTGGTGTTCAAGCAATTGGGAGATTGTTGGTTGCCGGCATGACAGAAATTGCCGGCGAGCATCTTCCAGTGGTTCCCGGCACCTGATCTGCCGGCGTTCGTCGCCGATAGAGTTTCCACATCTGTTTTTGTTGTTTTTGAAATTCTCTCCATCGACCTTTTTTTAAACCAGTTTATGTTGAAAGTTTTTTTTTTTTTTTTCCTTTATTTTTTTTTACTTTTCACATTACTGTAAGTCATGTGAACTCTACCAATTTTCTAATTTTTTTTAAAAGTTTTTATTTTATATAATTTTTATAGGTTTTTATTTTATTATTATTATTTTTTTTAATATTGTACAAAATAAGTAGGTTAAAATCAAGTATATGACTGCAATTTTATTCCAGAAAGAATAAAAAAATAATTAAAAAAAATCTGCGCCTCATATACAAGAGGCGCGCGCCTTCGCCTTGCGCCTAGGCTCCAGGTACTGAATGCACCTCGGTGCGCCTCGTGCCTTTTAAAACTAAGGTCTTGAGTTTATGAAAAAAGTTTCTGTTTACTGCCTCATAGGCAAATCCTTTTATTTATTTATTCTAATATTTTGTTTAGTGAAGTGGGACGTAGGGTGAGGGAGATGGAGGGCCCTTGAGAATTCTACGGCTGTGGTTGGCTGGTTGCCAAAGATCTTGTCTCTAATTTATTTCTTGCCATGCAACAACTGACTTATAATTGATCTTAAAAAATGCTGATGAAAGTGATGCATTTAGGACGTACATTGTTTTTTAAGAAACTTGTTTGGTCTACAAACAAGGGGTTTGCTTTGAATTGTTGATGTAGTCCATCTGTTTTGTATGTGATATTTCTGTATCATGTGCTGGGGTTTATGTGCTGATTATGCTTCTTTATATAATGTCAGATACATAGATTATCTCTTCTTAGGTGACTACGTAGACCGAGGACAGCATAGCTTGGAAACTATTACACTCCTACTTTCATTGAAGGTACAGCCTCTCTCTCTCTCTCTCTCTCTCTCTCAAAATGTGTTTATCTAATATTTGCCGTCTTTTGTCATTATAATTATTAGGTTGAGTATCCTCAAAATGTACATTTAATTCGAGGCAATCATGAAGCAGCTGATATCAATGCCCTTTTTGGCTTCAGGATTGAGTGCATTGAGCGTATGGTAAACCCTTATTGCATATGGAGCATTCAAATTATGTTATAATGGTTTATTTAATAGAATTCAAGGTTTTTAAAATATATGTACGCATTGAATAGGGTGAAAGAGATGGTATCTGGGCATGGCATCGGTTAAACAGATTATTCAATTGGCTTCCTTTGGCAGCTCTTATTGAGAAGAAAATTATATGTATGCATGGTGGCATTGGACGATCAATTAATCATGTAGAACAGATTGAGAACATTCAACGCCCTATTACAATGGAAGCTGGCTCAATTGTTCTGATGGATTTGTTATGGTTAGGCACACCTATCCAATTAGCTGATAAGTTTGATTCTTGGGTCTATGTTCTGCCAGGAGAGATTATGATAAAATGAATTTTTGCAGGTCGGATCCAACAGAAAATGACAGCGTGGAAGGTTTGCGTCCAAATGCCAGAGGTCCTGGTCTAGTCACATTTGGGGTGAGTAGTTTTTTGTAATTTGTTTGAGTAGATCTTCAATGTTGGGTAGCAAATTTTGTTGCTTAGCTCAATTTTTTTATTTTCTAAACGTATTTCTCCCTTTACTTTATTCTGTCCTAGTTTCCTCATTTCATGTATATTGGTGGGAAAGGCATAGGGTGGTTGCTAGTATTTGAATGTTTCATACAGAGGTCGAGTTTACTGTCAGTTTTCTTTCCATTTTTAGATGCTGTCATTCAGAGTCATGGTCACATTGAATTCTGTTTCTATCTGTTAATGCTTTGATTGATATCTGCCTTAATCTTGTGAACTTTGGCTCGTTTATGGATAAGTACTCAACATTAATAATCACCATTTCATCTTAACACATGGGATCACTCATAGTTGTTTATCTGTTTTCTGCATTAGCAGTTGTACATGTTGAAATTACCTGGTTTTGCAGGTTTTCTTGTGAATTTAGCATATATTGCAAAAAAATTGGGTTAAATGAATTAAGATTAGTGGAGGTTTATTTTATTTTTTACAGTTTTGTTGGGTGTTAAATAGTATACTCCGTCTTTGATTTTGAGTGCTCATGTTAGTCTTATCATTTGATAATTTTGTCCTTTTCAAAGTTCTCATATGCTAGATTTGTTTCCAGTGTATTTGAAGCATTGTGTTTGACGTAAGATTTTTGTCAATGGTTTATGTTAAATTTGATGATTACTTCCTCTGTCCCTATTTAATCTCTACTATTTTATTTTGATCTCAAACTTGGTGGCCATTAGAGTCTGCTAGTGTGAGAATGGAATATCTATTATAAATTCCTTGTCATTTTTTTTGCAATTAAATTGTGAGAATGGAGCATCAGATCATGAAATAAAATTTTGTGATCTAAAGAAAGTGGATTAATCATGCTATTTATTGCCTGATTATAGCTTGTCTGTGACCTTAGATCTGTATAGTATTTGATTTGTGGGTGTTCTGATTTTGCAGCCCGACCGTGTCATGGAATTTTGTAACAACAATGATCTTCAGTTGATTGTACGTGCACACGAATGTGTCATGGATGGTTTTGAGCGGTTTGCTCAAGGGCATTTAATTACTTTATTTTCAGCTACCAACTATTGTGGTAAGTTCAAGTCCCCACTTTTTTGCGTCATATTGTAAGCCCTGCTAAGTTTATATTCTGACATTTAACTAGTCTGCTGAGAGCTTCATTTTGTCTCTTCTTAGGTACTGCAAATAATGCAGGAGCTATCTTGGTATTAGGGAGGGATCTAGTGGTGGTTCCAAAACTTATTCATCCCCTGCCTCCAGCAATTTCATCACCGGAGACATCTCCGGATCGACATATTGAGGATACTTGGATGCAGGTTTGGTGATTTTGTTCAATTTCCTGTTGTAGATATGGTTAGTTTCTTCTCTTGGAATTCATTTTCTCAAATTTTCATGCTGCAGGAGCTTAATGCTAACCGACCGCCGACACCAACTAGAGGCCGTCCTCAAGTTGCAAATGATCGGGGTTCTCTTGCTTGGATCTAATTGGAGTGTAATGGTTTGCCACTCATGTTGGATCATGCTTCCACCCGGGGGTTTTGGCATTTGGTATCGCAGGATGCTGTACATAGAATGTCCTGAACTCAATTTAAGCCATGAAAATTTTGAAGACCCTCTTGGGATAACCACACGTTCGGAGGTCTTCAATTGATGATGGATGTATGGATCTCAGTGCGAATGGGAGTTCACTCATCTCAGTGGGATGTGCTATAAGAATTGCCAGCATGGGTATCCTAGGGAGTTGGCCCTTGTACATTTGATCAAAAATATGCTGGTGGAAAGTCCAGAGTCTGGGTTATTTCTGTAGTCAGGTCGATAGTTTTGGGTATTCTTCTGATTAGTTTTCTATTGATTTTTTTTGGTTTGGTCCTCGATTAGGGTGTATTTGTCACAAGTTGGGTGTATGCTATTGGTGAGGTAACATTATATCAAATCCATGGTGAGAGGTCCTTGTATAATAGAGGTAATGTTTGTAATTTTGTGTTCATTTTTCTGTGTAACTTAATTTTTTTTATCAAGTGGTATGAAGGTTTTTTGCCTAGCAAGTGCTCCATGCAAAAACAGATGTTGCCCTCTTATACATTTAAGGCTCCCCTGTTGGCCCCAATTGTTTTTATATGCTATTAAAAGAAAAAGAAATTCGTTCTTGAGTGTTGAGTACATAACAATCATGTTTTAGAGTCAAGAATTTAATAATGACCAATGTAAATTATTTTGAAGCTCAGATAAGGGTAACAAAATTGTACTATCAGTTATATTTGACTAATAAAGTAGAATTTGTGTTGGTATTAACTGTGGTGAAGAAGAATGTTGTTCCAAGTGTTTTGAGAGGAAAAGCACTCAACTAATCAATGAATGAAAGACAAAAACTGAAGGTAGTCAATTCAGCCTTTAACTGTTGGATTGATGCCAACAGGGATGTCAAGAGTTTGATACTGGTAGGCTTGAGCCGATAGCCCGATACAATAAGCAGGAACAACATGCCAGTTTTAGAGCTTCGGAGTGGCATCTGAGCAATTCCATTGTATAGATAAGGGGAAGAAATACAAGCAGGCCAAACTTCTTACTTGATTTCAGTTTGTAAGAAGCCAACTTGCTATAGTTTGTACCTTCTCCACAGCTGAGATGGTTATCAGAATATGTAGTACTAAGATTTTTACCTGAGATGTGTGAACCCATCATTCTGTATGATTTTTGCAATCTTATTAAGTTATAATGATTCCTTTGCCAAGCAAACAAAAAGGAATAATATGTGCGATTATGTAATTTACTCTGTACAAGATTGTAAAGATCAAATAAATGGATAATCTAACTTGTGCTTGCCATACATCAGTAACACATTGTGCCATCGCAAATTCTCTGTTCCCTACAGAATAGGCAACAAATCACAGCTACACTATTACGCTATACCTGGTCAGAGCTCAAAAGAATCTACAGAATTTGAGTTTAACTTTTACCATATCAATCATCTGCTCAACAGAAAGGAATGGATACTCTACAAGCTCTACCATGGGTTTGGTGGGTGAATACAAATTACAGCCCATAAGTCCTGTACTTAGAAAAGCCTTTCAGGAAAGTAACTTTCATCCCAAGCAGAGTAGCTTTCATTCCAGGTGACACATTAACCTCGTTTTACTGGCCTCTGAACATAAGACTTGTTTGGATCTTCTGTTTTAAGCTTTGGTGGCCGAATCTCACCCTTTTTACCCTGCATAACCAGTAATGTAAGCATATTGCATATGTAAAAACATCCTACTCATACAACAGCTATTATAAATAATATAGATTATTTATTTAAAATAACATTGTTTACCTTCTTTCCACTCTTCATAAAATCTCTCCAACTAGAAACCTGCAGAAGAAAGCAGATAGGATAATCAATCATTAGCAGGTATGTAACGCTTGACTAATCCAGGCCATCCCAAATATAACAGAAAACTAACAAGATAAAATCTTATCATCTACTGCTCAATCTGTGATAAAAGAAAAATTTGAGCATAATGGCATGTAGCAACTCAATCCAGTGAACTAGATTTGAAAAACAAAGAGCGGTTGATTCGGTGTGAATAATAATAGTGCACTCTAAATAGCTATAAATAATTGGCATGACATAGTAATTTGGTTTACAAGAGCTACTGCAAATATCTGAACAAAACACAGAGGTAGGAGAAAGGAAAATAGTCAAACCCTTGTTTCTCTTGTTCCTTCCCACTGCTCCTCATGCTCACGCTTCCTTTTCCAAACGTCCTTTTGTTCCTCTTCATCCTTCTTCAGCCTGCCCTCCTCCTCAGATATCTAGCAATGGCAGAGAGGGGATAAGCATGATAGTGTGAAAAACAAACAAATTGAGACAATTAAAATAATGTTGGTTTGAAAATTACCCTCATAGCCATTTTTCTCCCCCTCCATTCTTGCTCAGTTAGAATCTCTCTTACTTTCAATTTCAGCTGTTTCTTAAACTCCTCTGACTGCTCGTATTCTTTATCAAATTTCTGTCAATATATAGCATATATCTAAGCAGCTCAAACATTAAGAATAAATGTAAGATATACAGAAACCACATATAGAAAATGGTAGAACTGGGCCCTATAAAACCTCACGAAAGGTGGTCAAATCCAAAACTTGGACACCAATAAGTCTTGTATACATAGAAAATCAATTACGAAAAATATAAGATACTAACTCAAGGTCCCTTCTCTTAGCGTACAAATCACATTTACCCTACTTCCATATCAATTATTGTATCAAGCAAAAACTGACAAAAATGTCAGTGGATTTTTCAACAAAGAAGGCCTGAACACAAAGACAGGCATAATATTATAATAACACCTCATTTTTTAAAAACCACCTATTTATGGCAATAGAGGGTAGCGTGTAGGCTCACCTTCGGCCTACGCCAAGACAAGGCAAGGCATCTTAACTTGAGAAATGATTGTGAGGGAAGGCAAAAGAGATGAGTTACATGGTTCCAGGAATCAAATAGGCAACCCAAGGTCTTTTGAAAACTTTAGGAAGCACCACAATGCCTAACCTTTCCAGATTTGAAAATGTTCTCCGGTGGCTAAATTTGAAAATTTTAGAAATGGTAGACCAATTTTGGAAATTTTGGGACATGGTGTTGAAAATTCTAGTAATGGTAAGGGATGTTTTCAGTGTCATAAAATATTGATCAAAATCATATACAACAACTAGTTAGTCACATAAAGACCCATGGTGGCATTGAATTAATGACTGAATACATATATAAATTGATAGTTAGAGGCAAAGACCCAAAGTGGATGGTTCCATGGGAATCATCTTGTCCTGCTTTTCCAAGTTCGAAAATGTCAAAGTTGTCCAAACAGAAGGCATCCACGCTTCATGACAAGTGCCAAACACATCAGTCTATTATGATTAAGACAATATATCTAGATTTCCTTAGCAAAAGAGGCTAGCACATGGCAAACTATTTATAAGTATTGAATGGGGAAGTAATGGATCGAAGCATCCCACAAGTGATCCTTACGTATGCTCGCAGAAGGGGACAAAAGAGAGATAAGCTAGAAAAGGTGCTGCAGCAACAGATCATGGCAGTGGCACAACAAGTCACAGCAGACACCATAGTGGAGCAGGGAGAGCAACTGCCAGCTGAACACTAAAAGCCAATCAAGAAGAATCACCTTTGGGAATTGTAATATATAATGAAAGAGAGGAGATAGAGTAGGCAGGCAATGTTTTGAGTGTAAACTGGAGAGTTGTGAGCTAAACTCACTGTGGAGATTGATGGGCTAAACCTATCACTTGTGTAAACCCTTTGTTTGTTAATGAAAGCTTCAATCTTTCCCTCTCATTTCTGTTTATTTGCTAGCATATTTCTGTGTGTGTGTTTCTGTGTTTTGAGTCCATTTCAGGGGCTATGAGAGTTGAGAAGGAAGATTATGTCATTGAAATATATGATCGCAAAGCATTCGCGATTTTTACTCTAAATCAATGATTTCTTCAATTCTGGTGGTTACTATTACTAATTCGAGAGGGGAGGGTGGTCTTAAGATGAAATCCAAACTACATCTCGCTAATGTGATGCATGCAAACTAGAAGCATTGTAACACCATCTAAACAACAATAAGATGGATATTATCAAGGCTAAGAAGAAGAAGCAATAATTGTTTGTCATCAATAAACAGTAACAAAACAATAGCATGCATGCATATGTACTATCAAATGCAAATGAAAGGAATTGAGAAAATACAAGAATAGAGAGCAACAAAAATCATCAAGTATATTTGAAAAAAATGTCTTCAACTAGAAAAGCTCGTCAAAGAGAAAGTCAAGTTGTAATGGCAAGTGAATTTACCTCATCAACCATAAATTTTATTTTTGAAGCAGTTTCTTTCTTCAACTTTTTCTTTCTCACTGATAGAAGTTCCTCTGCAATTCCAATGGAACAATTCAATCATTTGACCTTGATGGATGCAAAAAGAAGTCTGAATATTGGATATCTCCATGGAGATAAATACAAAAGGTGTGATACAGAAAAAAGAGCAAAGAATCACGTAGGAAAAAAAAAAAATGAAACGCAACAAATGATGAATTAAGAGCCATATACTAACTCCAAAATTAACTTTGGCAAAGAGTCACCACAAAAATAAAAGCCACTACGTTGATGTCATAAATAAGCTGTTTGCTGACCTTTTGCAGATTTGACTTGGCTAAGTACATAGTCTCTTTCCTGTGAATCAAGAAGTTGCTGTTGGGCTTTCGCTAATGCTGCACAAGTCAAAAGTCTTCACAGTCGAGCAAAATCAATGTAGCAAAAGCTCAAAAAAAGAGAAAGACACATGAGATTATAAGCTTAAGCTGTACCAGGAAGAAAAGTGAAAGCTTTCTCTACCCTCCCCCCCTCCCTCCTCCCTTCCCCACCACCCTCTTTCCTTGAGCATTGTAAACATCCACAATATAAGATGATTAACTAATAATCCTCACATATGTCCATTACATCCCCACAAGGATCTTATCATCAAAACAATTATAAATAAAAAAAAAACTGTACTATGTTATTTTGACAAACCTCCAAATGCCTCCTTTGCTTGTGGATGCTTGCATTTGTCAGGGTGAACCATCAATGATAACTGCACATGCATGTCACACAATGAATGAGCATCTAATCATGGAAAATACAAGATTAACTAATCACTGTATGAAATAGATATTCCCAAAGTCTGTATATTAAGCAAACCTTTCTATATTGCCTTTTCACATCTTCTACTGATGAATCAAACGGTAGGTTTAGATGCTCAAATGGATTCAACTTGAAGCACGAGAGTATCCTGTAGCCTTAACAATGTAAGTCATAGAGAAAAAAGAAACTGCTAAACACTACTTTATTATACTTCTAGCTATGAATTTTCAAATTTTGTGTGGCCTTTATACTATTCACTACATACAACACACACTACCTTTAAATTTCAAACTAACCACTTTGCAAACTTAAAATACACCGAGGAATGATACACATGTACACATAGTCAGGCTGTTTAGAATTCATAGTAATACAGAAAACAAAGAGATTTTATATCCGGACTTCCATTTCGCCCTCTTTACATAGATACATGAACGAACAAGCTTCCACAATCCAAACACTCAGCAACTTTCTGAAGGGAAACAGCATACTTCGTAAATGAATACACCTTCTTCCATCTCAACCCAAGGAAGATGAATAGCCAGGATAACTTTGCAACAAGGTCGAAACACCGAAATCACCCCAGGCCAGCCAACATATACTCTACACTTTACAGTATTCTTTCCAGTAAATACTTAGTCAAAGAACTACAAACTGTAAATAAAATTTCAATTGTCCATGAATTGAAATCATATCCTTCACTCCAATTTTCTCAATGTCTACAGAAATGACATTATAAAAAAAGGGCTCCATTTCAAATATGTAACACAGTGTTTAACTTAACCGCACCTTTTTCAATCAACTAAAAATAACTCCTTGCATAAAAGTATAAAATTCATATAAAAAATTTCATGAAATGAAACAAATTTAATAAGGATGCTGCAATCCCTAGTTTCGGACTAATCCGGGATCCCTCCCAAATGAACAACTCTACATTTCTGCAATAAAGATTGCATCGAAAATTCAGGAACCAGTCTGTACCTTCCAATTAGACAAGCTATTCGCCTGTTTTCATTAGCAATCACATGTATGATAATATCTAACTCCTCAATTCATCATAACAACCAATCAAAATACAAATTATCATCCTCGAAACCTCGCAAATCATAGAGTTCTTCAATTTAATTCCCAATTGCACACACAAAAGGCATAAAGGGGTTAAACCCTAATCAAATTTAACTTTCATACACCCAGATTGACCAAATTTAACTACTTTAATTCGTTTTTCATTATTTACAACTGAATTTTCTTAATTTTTAAATTGAACATAAATAAACATCAAATCAATCACATATAAACAACCTAATACAATTAAAATCAACTAAATTGAAGTAATTAAATGAAAATTAAAACCTTCAATAAATTGAAAAAAAAAAAAAAAAAAAAAAAAAGGAACCTGACAACTTCGTTATCTCTTTCAACTTCACCAACTTCGGCGAAGAATTCTTTGAGAAGTGCATCTTCATCTAAAACTGTTTCCCCCATTTTCACTTTCTCTCTCTAACCTTTGCTTGATCGATACAACGAACAACGAACAAAAATGAAACATTCCGATTATGGGTTAGAAAGGATCCGACTTGAATACTAATGGGCCGGACTTTAGCCCGAATCGAACCAGCTAATTTAAGAAATTAACATTTATAGTAGGCCCAATCTACCTTTCTAACCTCAATTGTTTATGGCTAGACTCTAGTTTAGCCATTTATCCCTACACCCCCCCTAAACGATGCGTACCACACATTCCAGTAACTTCCTTCTAAAACTGCCAGTAACTTCCCACTACCCCACCCATATATATATATAATTAAAAAAAAAAAAAAAAACTTTTCAAATAATCACATTTTTCTTTCTCATCATCATTCTCCAATTTCTCACTCAACCTCCATTTTCTCTCTCTACTCCATTTTCGTACATGCAATTAGCAAGTAAAATTGTCTAAAATGTCCGACATAAGAGACGAAATTGCACAATCTCGACAAATTTCAACAACAACAAACCAAAAATCTAATGAGTAAGTATGTTTTACATGTTTAGTGTAAAATTAATTGAAAATTGCGAAACAAAACCCTAATTTTTTGGTATTTTTTCTTTTTGATGATGCTTCAGGAAAAAAATTGAAAATACTGGAGTTCCAGAACAATCAAAGTAAGTATTACTATTTTTTTGGAATTATAAGCATAAATTTATTTAAATTTGCTCATATTTAAACAAGTTACTGTTTAATTTCAAATAAACATAATTTTCCTCTATTTCTCAGACGATAATAAAAATTTAACCAAGTTACTGTTAATATTGGAATGTATGCGTAATTTTGATTAAATGATCAACCAAAAAAAATATAAAGTATAGTATTGTGAAATATAATGAACAAATACAAAACAGTATATGTTCAAATTGGATTGTGTGCCTATATGTGTGCATATATATGTATACATATGTTCAAATTTGTATATTAAGTTTGTTTAGTCTAAATATTCAAAAAAGTATATATTCAGAATAACAAATGTTCATTTACATTAACAATTTCATATATTTTAAATCAACAGAAAGAGTTGGAGGTTCAAATTCTGAAGAACCACAAGATGGAGGAAATTCAAAAAAAGGTAAAAAGTTCACTTATATAGTATTAAATGAATATTTGTGATTGTAAGATATTCTTCTTTAATGATACTAAGTTTATATATGTGTGAATGCAAATTAATACAAAAGGCATTAAACAAAGGTGAAGGTTCAAAATCTGAAGCATTAGAAGAAAATGTTGAAGGAAATTCAAAGAGTGGTACAATGTTCACATATTACAAATAAATGATCAAATTATTAAGTATAATGTTCATTTCTAGTTATATTAAATTTTTTTCATGTATTTTGTTTGCAGCATCTGATTCAAAAGTTGGTGATCCCAAGACACCAACTGAAAATAGGGAAGCTGCTGGAGATATTTCTACAATCTTCAAATCTCCAGCATGTTCAAGTATGGAAGATATCCTTGATAAATCAAACAAGAAAGGAGGAAGCATGGGGTAAACATGGAAGACCTATCTTGTTAGAAAATATATAATTTTGAATGGACATGTAGAATAAATTTGGTTATAAAGTGTAATTATTTTGGACAGTTTTTGTTTATGAAGTTAGTAATGGATATGTATTATAAAATCAGAAGGGAATATTTTGCTTTAGGGTAGGAATGCACAATTTAAGATATGTAAATTATGTATTTTAATTTAAATGTTTTAGTAATATTTTAAGTGTTTATTGTTCAAAAAAGGAGAATAATGTTTTTTTTATATTAATTACTCTTCATTACTAACCATGATTAATATTTCAGAGAAGACAAGAAGAAACAGATATATGCTTCAAATGTGAAGGAAAGGTAAATGATTATTCCACATATACATGTTCTTTTACATTAAACTGAATAATCATTTATACTATATTTATATTCAGTGAGACAAAAAAGGATTCAAAAGAAATTGAAACAGAGAAGATTCAAATTTCCAAAAACACAACAGGACAAAGGTAAATGGTCTTTACATGTGTATAGATTTATAATGTTCATTATCAATATACTAAATGATCATTCATAATTCAATATTTATTCAGTGACAGAGAGAAGACTTTGGAAAGAAAAAAATCAAGAGAAGCTGAGAAGGCAAAAACTGAGATTGCAAAGGAAAAAGATATAAGGTATTACTATTTGTTCTTTATATAAATTATTTGTTCATTATTAAAAAAAATCATATTTGTATTAATATATGGTCACATTAACTAGGCCACAAAGGGAAATCCCAAATGTTCCTCTTGCTTTCCGATCTCCATACATGGTCAAGTACAAGGATTTGTTCAAAGATGAAGACACAATGAACAAACTTGTAACAGACTATGCTTATAGTGGAAAAGATCAAAGGTATACATCACTTACTTCATTAAAACTTTAACATTATGTTTGTTGTAAACTCATAAAATTTAAAAAATTGATATTTTGCAGTGAGCTACTATACTATGATGGAGTGAATTCGATCAATAGGGAAGAGATGAAAACTCTTGAAGGGGATACATTAGTAGTTAACAATGTGATCGATTCATGGGCAGTACTTCTGAATCAAAAAAGGTCAAAGAACAAGTTATACTTTTCAACATTTCCACATGTAAGTCTTTATTGAAATTACACATGTATACATTGGTGTACTAAAATGATCAATTCACTTATACTAGATGATCATTATGAATATTAAAATGATCCTTGTGCATTATTTGCAGCAAATTATATATGCAAATACAGTGTGTCCTGAAGGATCATCAATGGAGCTTAGAATTGCATACTTCAAAGAAAGAATAACAAATGAATTGAGGTTATACAAAATCAAGAGTGCAGTTGGATATCAACAGGTATTAATGAACAATATGGAATTATAATATGTTCATTTACATTAATGTGTATATATAATAATATTGTGTACTATGTATAGATTTTTTTTCCAGTGGCCATATATGCACATTTCTATCTTCTATGCATTGATCATATCAATGAGACAATGCATATAATTGACAACAGGAAACTGCCAAAACATCAAACAATTGCAACAAAGTATGAAAACCAACCCCAATTGGTGGTAAGTATATTGTTTAATAGATATATAAATGATCAATTTGTTTATACAAAATGATCAATATTGAAAATTAAAATGATCAATATTTTAAATGATCCTTTGAATTTTTTTTTCTGTATATGTTGCAGTTAAAAGGATATGTAGAATATTTGAAAGGGTTGGGGTATGAAGATGCAGATTCTATTGAGAAATATAAGGTGGTTTTGCAAAAAATGAAGTGGAGGAGCAACGAAGATTACACCAACTGTGGAGTTTACATTATGAAACATATGGAAACTTTCACTGCTGATCCCAATGAAGAATGGGTTTGTGACCTAAAACCAAACAATGTAAGTAAATTTCAACAAAACAAAAAAATATACTTCATGATCACTTTATAATACATAATGATCATTTATATCCCATTAATGTTCATGTTTATAATAAATTATTTTCTTGGAACAGGTGAACCAAATCAGAAAGCTCAGAGTACAATACACTGCTGAACTAATGCTGAATGAAGGAAACAGGCAGTCACAGAACAATAGAAGAGCAGCAAGAAGATTTGCACAAGCTTAATACAATATGTTCATATATAGACATATATATGATCATACTTGCTTTCAGTATTTGTATGGACATAAGTTTTTGTTGTTGTTCAAGTAAAGACAAAATTTATTATCTTTTTTAATATTTACAAATAGTAAAGTGTTACATTATAATTGCCAGTTTTAAATCATCTAATATAATTATTCCAATTTAATAATGGTTCTTACTATTTAAAATAGTATATGATCACTTCCAAAAGCAAAAATAATCATTTATAGAACATTTAAGAATAGTTTGAAAAAAAAAAGATTCAAATTACTTAATAAATTAAAATATAAAAAACTTAAAGCACTTGAATCTCTATAAAGTTGAGACAACTAAAAATGTTGATAGTTAAACACCAAAACATAATTGCATATTGATTTACTCTCTTATTTACCATTTGTAGCCAATCTCTTAGCCACACTAGTATCAAAACACGCTAATAACCTATCATATTTGGTTGAAATCTGTGGAGAACCTCCTTGAGTACTTCTTGAAACAGTAGGAGATCCTTGAACATTCATTGAAACACTAGGAGAAAGTAGAACATTCCTTGAAACACTAGGAGAAACTTGCACATTCCTTGAATTTCCTTGAGTACTTCTTGGAACATTAGGAACATCATGCACATTTCTTGAAATACTAGAATCAACTTGAACATTCCGAAAACAACCTTGAGGACTTCTTGGAACATTAGAAGGAGCTTGAACTTTCTTCGGAACACTAGAATGAACTTGAACATTTCTTGGAGCTTTTGGAGGATTTTGAACAATGCTAGAAACTTTAGAAGGAGCTTGAGCATTGATTTGAGCATGCACAACTGTGGGAAATTGTACATTTCTTGGTTTCTTTGGTGGCAATTGAGAACTTGTTGGAAAATTATCAACATCATGAGCAATTGCAGCTGTTTTACCCTAATGATCAAAATTAAAATAATTAATGATCAAATTCAAAATTCATAATGACCTTATACAAAATTAAAAGGTAGATGATTAATATTTCACCTTAACAATAGCAGATATGTCTGGATCAACAGTAACGTTTGATTGCATAGAGCTATATCCATATTCCTATAATAAAATGAAAATTATAAAAACATTATAATCACAACTTAAACTACTAAAATGAACAACTACAATTACATACATAATCATTTACATAATACCTGTTCAAAGTCATTTGAAACACTATCATCTGAAGGGATATCTTCTACAATGGCAATCTTTTTATTACAAACCTTGAAAAAAAATTAAAAGTAAAAATGTTTAATATTCTAAAGAATTTGATAAAAACAGATAAAAAAAAGAAAATAAGTTTTTACCTGAGCACTTAGATCTTCAATCACAATTAACTCATTAGGATCAGCCAAAGAATTAGCATAAGAAAATAAGTTTTTACCTGAGCACTTGGATCCTCAAATAAAATAACATTCTTTTTTTCCACTGCAATATTAAAATGTAACAAATGAACACAAATAATAGCAATAATGTACAATAACCACATGTAAACTGTTAATGATCATTTATCATTACATAAATGAACATATATCAAAATGATAATAAAACATATAAATGAACATTTATGATTACATAGATAAATGTAAATTACAGTAATTACACCTATGTTAACGTAAATGTACATATAATATAACATACATGAGCATTAATTGAATGTCAAATTTTATAAAACTATAGACAATCATTAAAATGCAGAAAACTGGAAAAAACATCAATCGAATAACAACATTACAAAGAAAAACAATAAAATCACAACAATACATCACAAACTATAAATTAAAATAATCATAAATAAAAATGAAATCAAATATTATAATCGACCATAATTTTGATTTTAATTCATACAATAAGCAATAACAATTAGCTAAACAATAAAATCAAAAATTATAATTGAGCATTATATAAACTATAGTTCATACAATTACAAAAACTATGAAATCAAAAATCAAAATCGAACTATTACACGCGAAAAACAGAGCATAATCAAAATCGAATGATTGAGGAAAAAATTACTCACATTGTTTCGAAAACGAGTCGACTAAACCAACTCCAGCAGAAAAAATAGAATCACAATCACGATCAAAAGCAATTAAGCTAGAATCACTGTCACGATCAAACGCAATTGAGCTAGAAATTTCCATGGAAGAAGAGAGAGAAAAATTGGGGGAAAAATAAAAAATGCAGGAGAGAGAAAATGAAATAAGTAAAATATGAGATAAATAAAATGGAAATTAGGTTAAGAAAATCATTATATAGTTGCTTGAATAGAAAGTTAACAAAAATGAAAAAAGATGAAGAAAAAAAAATGGCAGAATGGTTCAATATAAAACGACGTAGTAGCATGGGGGTGTAGGAGAAGCTGGCTACCCTAAAGTCTAGGCAAAAATTTGTATTCTAACCTGTTAGACCCGTGACCCTTTTATAAAGCCCATTCAAATTAAATTTGAGTAGCTATTATTATTATTATTTTTTTTTTTTTTTTTGGTGTTTAGAGAACCACAAGGCCGAGGGTGAGAATCGATCCCATAATCTCCTGAGATCGAGAAGGAAGTTCTAACTATTTGAGCTAAACCTCACTCTTTGAGTAGCTCTTATTAACTCTTATCAGAACTTTTGCTAAACTTATTTTATGTGAACTTATTGACCATCCGCTAAACTTATTTTTCCTGAAATAAATGGGAAAAAGGTGGAAAAAAAAAAGAAAAAAGATGGCCTTAATATATTGTCTAGTTTAATTTGGTCTAAAATTCACAAGAATAAGGTAATAATCAAACCCTTAAAACAAGTTAAAGAAAACATAACCCAATTCTCTCAAATTTTCTAAAGCAATAAAGGAATTGCAAAATACTGACTCCGTGTTGATTAAATTTTGGTAGAAGGTACAAAAGGCAATGATGTATGTACGTGCAAATTTTAAGCCCTTTACTATGTATGTTTGGCATTGTTATTTTAATTTTATTTTCGTAATGTTGAATGAAAAGTTGGTGATTGTGCTGAAAATTGTGGAACTAATAATTTCATTTTATTGTGGAACTAATAAAAAACTGGTGGTCTTGTGACATGCGGTACAAAGATCATGATTTAAGGTATTTTTGTGCGTTAGTTAAACTTGTGTTTACTTCTATCTTCATTTTCTTTCTCGAATCTTATGTCGAAACTAAGCTAAGAAATTAACAATCAAAATAATGAAGCATGAAGCATCAACGACATCATTTCTCACACATACACCTCCTTAATTGCCTATACTTTGATCAAGCAAAGGTCCGTTTCTATCCATTTCCTTGTCAATTTTTTTTTTGTATAATAAATTAATCATATAATGATGTTAAATTGATAGTGGGAAGCCAAAGAATATGATGAGATGCTCTAGAATCTTTTTATGGCCACAAAGCTCTATTTTTTTCATGGCAAAATAGTTAAGTGAATCACGCAACTTATTTGCGGAGTGATTTCTATACTTAAAATGTCTTTATCAAAAAGAATCTACGGAGTAATATCTTTCTGCGTATTATTGTAATTTCCTATTTTGTGAGCTCTAAAAAAAGGAATGATTTTTTCTTATTTCGGTAGAATACACAAAAATTCTCTATACTATCATTTTTCATTATTTCCAGTTGCTCGTGTTGAACGATATTATGAGGACTATCGGTTTTTAAGCATTAAAGAACTTTAGATTTACTACATTTAGCACAAACATATCATGATAACTTTATGTCGTCCATTGATGAAATTGAGTTTTGTGCGGTTTAATTTCTCATATGTTGAATAATTTTGAGAATTGTAAATATAATTCTTGTGTTTAAATTAATTACTTAGGTTAAGTTGTTGTGATTTATTTTAAACAAATATTAGAAGCAATATCTCGGTAAAGAGGAAGCAAAGCAAGCAAAATAGCAGCAGCCCGGTACACATCTCGGTCTGGGTGGTGCTCGCCCGACCGGGCGCGAGGGTGGTTCTGGGATCTTGCTCCACCGCCCGGCCGGGCAGCCGTCGCCCTACCGGGCGTGAGAACGGAGAAGAAATATGTAAAACCCTAGAAATTTCTTTCCTTTAAAATACATGTTTTTCTGCTTTAAAAATACAAATAGGAAATTCTAAGACATTACCGCCACCGTGAAAACGGCTGAGGCAATTATCAAAGACACACATCAGAAGACTTATTTTAAAACCATTCAAAACAAGTTAACTTAAAAAGTCAAACCAAACGAAAATAAGTCAAACTAAAGTCAACTTACAACTTGGAACCATTGTAGGCCCTTATCAAAACCCAAAACAATAATAAAAACCTTTGTGTTAGTCTCACAAGCAAATATATAATAATCAAAGCGAATAAACACATCATATTCTTATGCAAACTAAACAGGAATCGCTCTTCACTCATGCCCATTATGAATATGCTTCATCACTTGAAAAGCTTCCCTTTACTTTGTCCCCACTACTCGCCATTATAAATGGTTCGTCGTAGGGCCAAGATAAAGGCAAGGCCAAATAAACATACAAACACACAATCAACAAAACTGAGTACATAGACGTAAACAATACACACTAACATGCTTTTATCCAATCAACACACAACTTACCTTGTTGCACCTGTTTACAAGCATACAACATACCATACAACTAACCAATAAATAAATGAATTGCTTATTTAATTTGATTACGCATCGAACGGATTTCCCACCAAATCCCTGCCCCAAATAAATTAAGGTAAACTATACCAGGAGCTAACAAATAGGCAAATGCCACATGAAAGTGACTGGACGTCCCACGCATAAAATAAATCAAGGAAAATACAGCGTCATGTACTCCCAGTATTAGCTATGGTGAAATATAAAACCCCATAACTCCCCCCATATGTTCACACTTAAGGTATATACGTTTAAGGTGTTTTGGTGCGTAATCTCTTTCACTTTACGTTGTTTACATATCTTTAAACTTGGTGATGACTTTCAATCCATACCACAATCAATTATCATAAATCATTCAAGCAATCAAACATACCGATTTAATTCTTGAATAATTAGTGACCACATAATTTTAATGTTGAACCCTTTTTAAACTACCTCGGCGTTAGATAACAACTTAAGCACATAAAGCACCGCAAATCCTATCCCTCGGTGTTTAGAACACCTTAAGTGCACATAGGCATCGCAATATATCTTATTCTGTGTACTAAGACACTTAATAGCTCAATTCTCATGCTTAAAGCATCAATAAAAATTATATGTACCATCATAAAATTCCCTTTTTATATTCCAAACCAAATTAAACATTTAGTTTAATTAAACATGCTCTCAATTATGCCAACAATAAAAGTGTGGTTCATATTCAACATGCCAACATAATTAATTCCAATCATCAATTCACCACAAATAATCCATACTTCACATATCAATCACCAACATCAATTCCATCAACAATTCCAACCAATACCTATCATGATACTACCTTGGAATTAATTAAACAAAGCCTAGCATGCTTCTACACACTTAAATAAATACCGAGTACGCGACTGTACCTCAAATATGATCTCAAAACCGCCACGACTACACGAAATCACTCACTTGGAAGTGTCCTACAACCCAAAATTGCAAAGAGACATTAATACCTATTCATAATAAATTTTCAATAATATATACACTCTTTAAATCGCTTTTAGACCCTCTAAAACATGCTGAAAATTAATTTAAACCACCTACTTTTAATCCCAATTAATGGGTAATTAAAAATCCTTTTAAGAAACATAATTCTAACCTTTATATAAAAATTCTAGTTTTATAAAAACTTATAAAATTGATGTAATTATGTTTAAAAACACCTGTTTAAGTAATTTCAATCAACTACAATCAATTTCCATCACTATACATTACTTTTGAAACCAAGGGTTTTCAATTTGGGGCTTTTTAATTCAAAAAATAAATCTGAAATTTATATGCATACTAATCATAATTAAAACACCATAAAATCATCACACAATCCAAAAGCAATAATTAAATCAAGGCTAAATTATATTAAAACAAAGTTTTTTTTTTTTTAAAAAAAAAAACACAACCGCACGGATGAGAGGGGGTTGCTGCCTGCGGCTGCTGCTGGAGGCGGTGGCCGGCCGATGGGAAATGGTGGCTGGCGAGCCTGACTTCTTGAATCTGGGTTTTGCCGCCCGACCGGGCGCGAGAGGGGTCAAGCTTCATCACTCAGGTTAGCCCAGTCGGGCGGACAGCAGACCGGTCGGGCACGCGTTAGACCTGGTTTGAGATTGATGGTTTTCTTCAATTTGTTTGGTTTTTTGTCAGTTACTTCGTGAGATTTGGCTGGATAAAAATTGCTTCTACATATATGTTTTTGACATATGATGAAAACTGACTTGAGAAAGTATCAGATTATTTATTTTCTTAGAACTTTTTGCAAATCATCATCATAAAAATATCAAAGTTTTGATTTCATTAGACCACAAATATACTACACACTATTGTGGTTGTTTTCGTTGTATCTCCTAGTAATTTTGTGATACCCGGTGTGTTTAACCAGGGTCGAAATATTACTTTAGGAAAGTGATTTTGTTCACGCCTCGAAGTGTAAATTTGTTCAAGTTCATTGCGATTTTTGTGACCCGGTACTCTTTTCCCCAACAACATATGTATTCCTATCGTCTCGAAATAACAAGATCTTATGCTCTATATAGATGACTAGGAAATAATTATAAAAATTATTTATATTATAAAAAATCATGATATGGATAATTTATATGATATTCTTAATAGAAATATGTGAGAAAGAAAATGTTAAAAATAAACCTTATTAGGAAGAAAAAAAAATGGCGGTGTTTTTGTCGTGTTCTTAATGATATATAGTGGATTTAAATTATTGTACAAATACAATTTGGAGTAATTGCGAATTGAAATATCCGCATGGAAATAAAGTATAGAGAGAATGAGGTTCGTATCATCCAAGTCTATAGTATGAAAAAAAATGACGTAGATATTATATATGGGATCTGACTAGGGAGTAGGGACCCAATAAATTATGAAAACATGATCTGCTGCCGTTTAACTTAATATAAGAAAAAATATTATTTGCAAAACAATGTGTTGGACATAGGCATAGATTTTTCAAAATCAAAAGATTCAAACCTCGAAACTTTAATTTAATTCGATGAAAACCTCAAAAACATTACATCATTTTATTGACCGATTGAACTTATTATACAAGAAATAAGTTAAATGAAGCATGACGAGATGATTTGATGGACTTATTATACGAGAATTAAATTAAATGAAGCATGACGAGATGATTTGATGGAGTAGATTAAATAAAATTATAAGAATAAAAAGACGAACCTTCTATCCAAAAATCTAGAAAAATTAATAGTACGTAGAGTAGTAAGAAGATCATAAATTTTGATTGGATTAAAAGGAAAAAAAATTTAAAAAATACTACAACATCATAGTCACAACCTTAAGTGGAACAAGACCAGGCACCAAATCGAAGACGGTGGATCTTGATGCTCCTTAAATAGCATCTAACTGGTCCACACATGCGTCAATTTAATTACCAACCTCATTATTTGCTTTTATTTCATTTCATTTTATGGAAGAAATTTAAATTAAAAAGCTCTTTTAATTTAATTCTCACTTTATTTATTTATTTTTCAAAAAAAGAAAAAATCTTTAGGGTTGGAGGGTGGGGGACACATAAAACCTTCCCAAGATTGAGCCACAAAGAGTCAAAGATATTGTTGAATCATCGTCAAAAGAAGAGAACTTAATAATGCAACGAAAAGAAGAAAATTCTAATTTCTAAGAAAAATCATCATCGATCTCACTTTTTTCATCCAAGCCTCAAATCGAAATCTTAGAATCGGAGAATTAATACATACATACATACTACTATAAAATTTAATCGTAGTAATATGTAAAACTAAATTCTTCTCCATTACAAAGGATTTCGCAAAATTTATTAAACTACGTACAACATGATAAGAAACCCCAGTGGGATGGCCTAATAAATTAAAAATTCTAAAAATGACAATAAATTAAAGTGATCACGTTCATAGGGTGGAAATTACAACAAATTTGAAAAGAGGGCTTAAATTGCAATGATAGTAATAAGCTAGGGATTATGTAAATGATGGAATTAAGTTATTAGTGATGTTGGAAAATGGTGGATTATTGAAGGAAATGAGAGAGGGTTAAGACTTAAATCAAGGTGATGAGGTGGGTGTTTAGGAGGTAGCAATGCAAGGAGGCTCCCAGAATAAGAGTGACCTCTTGGGTTCTTTACAGCCTCTAAGCATCAAGGGAACAAGATACTCCGCCTTTTCGGCCGCGGTTGCTCCTCCTCTACCTGTTCCTGCAGCTTTCAGTAGTACCACCTCTTGTTGTGCTAATGCTTCTCCCTTTCTATTATGGGCGGCATAAAGCAACTTGTTGTTATTCCTTTTGGTATCATCATCCTTTTCCACTTGTGGGGCACAATTTTTGTTATTATTATTCTTGTGCCCTACAAGTGGATTGAGCATAGCCACTGCTGCTGCCGCGGGGCTATTGCTCCGTCGCCAGTAGTACTCGTAGGCATTCAGGGCGACAGCAGCAGCAGTGGCTGTGCTCGCACTCACCCTTGGTTGAGGTGGCAGTGATCGCGTCACTACCAACTCATCATCCTCTATCTCTTCCTCATTGTCGTCAAGAGTTTTGATTACTGTTTTGTTGTATTTGCGAGGCCATGTGGACTTGTTCCGTGAGCTTAACTCCATGAGCTTACTCATTGTAAATGCCGTGCATGACCTTTGTACATTCATCATCCCCCTCGGTATAGCCAACACCTCTTCACCTCCTTCTTTCTCTTCTTCAAGATCATAATTCTCTACGATAGCAGCCTCGAGTATCTCCTTGCTTTGTTCCAGTTCATGCTCATCAGTAGTAGTACTAGTACTGAGAGTTAGTAGCAAGCGCCCGTCTTGTCGTTGCGCACGGAAGCAGTTCTGAGAAGGAACTGCGACAGCTTCAACGACAAGGCGGCCGTCTTGGCGGTGGGACCGTATGTGGAGGTTGGACCCGTCATCTCGGTGAGCCAATGAAGGAAGAGGAGGAGGGAATGACGGCCTTACAAGAGGGACCATCATTGACCTCTTTATAGTGGGACCCCTCAAGCTGTTGTTGTTGCACTTATAGTTATAATTACCCACTTCTACAATAACATTTCCTTTCTCCTCTAACTCTTCTTGCTCTTTCTCCTTCTCCTTCTCTTGCTCTTCCTCCACCTGCTCGTGCTCGTCTTCGGGGTCCGAAGCCGGGTAGGAAAACCCATCAGACCCGGTCTCTGACCCGAGACTCTCAGTACAAATCTCAAGGCTCTTCTCACTAAGCGAGCTTGAACGCTTCGCCAAAGGGTGAACATACGGCGGAGGAAGATGACCCGGCTCAGACCCAGACTTAGACCTAGACCCAGACCCATCAGTCTTTCCAGGAGAAAGAATAGAGCCCCAACTCTTCTTGTCAGCTTGAATAGAACTCCAGATTTCCTCAAATGCCTGACCACCCACGTTGTTGTTGTTGTTGTTGTTATCATGATCATAATTACCACGAGTGTTATCATCAACAATGTTGTTGTGATGATGCTCGCCTAAGGCGAGCGAGGAATGAACCCTCTTGAAAGAAGAAGGGGAAGAATGAGGAGTAATCCATTTTTGTGAGGAGGACATGTCAGCAGCAGAGAGAGTTCTTCGAATAGAATTGTTGTTGAAAGAAGAAGAGTTGTTAAAATCAGAGCTAAGTAAAGAAACAATGCCCTGTTTTGATTGTATGAAAGAATTATCTTCATTGATGATCATTTTATAAGGGCTTTCAAGGCAGCTGGCGTTGTCAAACCACCCTGCTGACATCTCTCTCTCTTCTTTCTGCAACTACTTAAGATGCAGAGAAATTTAGAGAGATGTTCGATTTTCTTTTTCTTTTTTTGTTTGAATTTGGACAATTTTTCTGAATTCCTGCAACACAAAAACAGATTCTTTTATTAGGGATAGGAAGATCAACAAAAACTGATAAAAATTTAAAGTTAAAATTTGGGAATTAAAAGCATTAAAGAGAGCCAACTGTAAGAAGAAGTAAGTAACAAAAAAGTATCAAGTTACAAAGCATTCTGAAAAACATGCAAGTGGGATAGAGATATAATTGGGAGATGGGTGTCAATCATAGGGCAGTCAAATTTTCTTACCTTATATTTTACTTCGATCATAAACAACCAACAACAACAATAAACCTCTGTTTTTATTTTCTCTCTTTTTCTAATAAATACAGAGTACTCTGTTTTTTTGTTTTTTTTTGGTTGAGTACTTGAGTTTTGTGGGGTTTTAATTTTTTGAAACTTGGTTAATGTGAGTGAGAAGAATGAGGAGGAGGTATTTGTAGTGCCAGAAAAGTATGAAATTGGGTCCCGCATAACGCAACAATTTTAAAAGTGTACTTTTTTTTTTTTTTTTTTTTTCTCCCATTTAAGTTTGTTTAATTAAGAAGTTGCTCCTTAATTGTATTTTTGTAATGACTAATTCCTTTATTCTATTTGAAGAAGTAGTAGATGGTAAATTTTAACCAACTATTTCTACTAATGTAGATTCCCTTTTCCCCTTTGTTTTTTAGGGGGTTATTAAGTGTGAATTTTGAGAGGATAAACAATTTAAGAATATACTAGGTGCCCTTAATGTTTAATTTTTAATCACCCCCTATACCACTCTAATCAATTGATGTTAGGAACATTTAGGTCGGTCACCCTATATTATTCCTTCTTTTAGTTAAAAAATTATTCTACGTCGTGAGAGTTCAATTTGAAGTTTAAGAATAGGAGAAGTAACTAAAATTTAGAATTATTAGCTAGTTGTATAAACAAATATAAAACTTTACAATTCTTTTTAATTAGAAGTTAAACTTTTGTCATTAGAAGGGGTTATCTTTTTAATTTATACTCCGTATTTCTCCATTTTTGGTTCTAATAATATACTCATAAAATCAATTACAGGTAACAAATACTTTGTACATTTAGAGTATTCTTTTAAAATTACTTACGTTGTAGAAAATTGTTACACTAGAATTTAGCTAGTTGTCCTAAAAAGAATATATTTGTAAACATATGTAAAAATCTTGACATATAAAAATAGAAATTATGCTTTGAAAGTAACAATAAGGAAGGAGTCTAAGAGGGTGCTAATAATATGGCCAATCCAAGATTAGAATGGAAAAAATTAATTAATAAAATAATTAACCCCTAATACGAGAGGTGGAGAGTGTGAGAAGTCCAGCTAGGAAATTGTCAGATAGCATATCAATACAAACACAACCGTACGGGAAGTAAATAGGAAACTATATCCTTATTCTGAGTAGCTTCCATAAGTGTGCATGCATTGTCATAACTCGTAACTCCCCCTCTCTTCTCCCCCGTGTCTCTCTCAACATACTCATTTTTTTTTTCCATTTTTTGGAATCTAATAACTCGTGGCTAGCTATTTATGTTATTTTCATTTCATACACGCTACTGTAATAAATAAGGATCGGAACGTTATAGTAGTACAGAGTAATAATGAAATTATCAATGAGGTTGGGGTGGTGTAGTAGTTGTGTCGTTAACTCTGTATCTTGTACTCCGCATCAATTTGGTGTAGAGAACTAGAGATTATATCTCATATATGTAAGAGGGATATTTTATTTATAATATATCCCCTCTCTAGTAGACCGATTGATCCCTTCTTATTTATAAATATAAATAAATAACATAATTTTCAATACCATGTACTTAACTATGTAGCTTGACGACAATTTAGGGTAATTGAGAATAAATAAACTTTATTGATAAACTTATTGACATGAAAAGTTTTCACCACCAATATTACTTCCACACCATTTCAAATCAAACGTAAAATATGGACTGACATCCCTAATTATCTACTACGTATTAGTTAAATTTAAAACAATGCATATACTAATATGTATTTTTATATGCCGGTAAGAATTATGATAAAAGCGAAACATGTAAATAAATCAAAGTCAAAGTATTACACTTAACGTGAAGGAATATGTATTGTCATTTCTATTTGACTAGACGCTTTTTAGAATTTTTACTTTATTAGGCTAAGGGTGCACATATCTAGGATTGAAAATTTTATGGTACAGGCGTTTGTATCATGCTTGGTACAGACAAAAAATGTAGAAAGAACATGTATTTGTTTTGTAAAGAACATACAACTGTTTTGTAAATAACATATAACTGTTTTGTAAAAAAAAAAAAAATCCAGTTTTATGTGTTTTTTGTATATTTAAAGAACATTTGTAATATTAATAAAGAACAAGATAATATTATGTAATGAACATTATTTATATATGTCCACCATAATTTAAAGACAAAATTTGAAGAACATTTCACAATAAGCAATGAACATTATGTCACAAATAAATGTACATTACACTAACAATCAAAAAACATGGACATTTGTTCTCTTCACTCTTTTTTGATGTAAATATGTTCTTTTCACTCTAGGTATATGTTCATTACTTTTCAATAATATATTCTTTTCGCTTTTTTTTTTTTTTTCTTTTTGTTTACAAAACATTTGTATGATAAGCCTGTAGGAACCACGCATTGATATAGGATGTATATAAAAGGTATGTTGATATAGTAAAGGTGAAAAAAACTTTGGGACAAAGTTACTACTCGTAGAGAATTATATGGAGATTTGAGCCCAATAATATAGACACTAATACGAATTTAGACTATGTAATAATTTGGCGGTGGCATTATTGTCTAGTTGAGATTAAAATAAAAAAGTAGTAGTAGTCCGTAATTTGTTTGAAGTGGATTGGAAAATTGAAAAAAAGGGTGTAATGACTGCGTACTTGGCATGAAAGCCAAGCTACATAGTTTGAGTATTTGTCATTTATCCGTCGTCCACGCTATTATCATTGCAATAGATTAGTGTTCTACTCCTGCTGCCCAATTAATTACTTTACTCGATGTGTCATTTTATTTGTAATTTTGTATGTATATATTCACTTTGCTATAAAATATACAAGTACAACATTACATAGTAGATTTTAAGTAAGGTTACTATAATGATATTATTACTTTACCGGATCATAATCAATAAATATATATATATATAATCAATAAATATATATATATATATATATATATATATATATATATATATATATATATATATATATATATATATATATATATATATATATATATATATATATATATATATATATACTTGCACCCTCAATTTCTCAATCTACAAGACTACAACTCATTGCTTAAGCTTGGTGTCTCAATTTTTCTTTTTTTAGTTACCATTCATTAATTCATACACCCAGTTACAACGTTGTACTACAAGAGAGCAGTGATTTTTAGCTTCTTTACGTCATCGTTTATCAATCGGTTGAAATCAGGAAAATAAAAACCCTCATGATTTATTAAGACTATGGTCGCTAATATGAGTATACTATTTAATAAGTGATTTTCAATTTCAAACACTTTACAATCTATAGTGAAATTTAGATAAGTTTTAGAATGCAATAATGTACTTAATTATTTAATTAAATCACACGCATTTTATCTTCTAGAACTCTAATTGAGTAGATTTAGGTAAATAACAAAATTAGTACTATGATTTAGGAAATCTTTATAATGATAGTCGTATGGTCCATTTCAATAGAGGCAAATGGCTTATTAAATTGTTTAGGCTTCTTTCTTATTGAGAAATAGTAAGTGCATGTTTATTGTATTTTGGATAACGGGTCAATTGGGAGCAACCTTTTCGATCACTATCATTAAAAGAAAAGAAGGTTACTATTCCATGGAAATGAGGAGCATGTGGTTCATCAATTAGGGTTTTTACTAATCTACATCTCTCACAAGAGATAGATATAGATGGATTGATCTCATGTGTGCAAAAGTTTTATGCAGAATTTTATTACTTTTGTCTCTGACATGTACTTTGATCATCATTTCAAAATACTCCGCAACAATTTAATTTTAAAATATTTATAAAAAATTAAAAATATAAATGGTCAGATGTATGTATTAAGAAACATAAATCTAAGTTATGCAGTGTAAGTTAAAAGAAAAACGAAGAGAGTTTGACGAACTTTATCTTACCTTACTTACATGTATGTGATACTTTATCCTACCTTAAATACATATTACATGTATGCATGTAAGCTAAAAGAAAAATGAAGAGAGTTCAACTTTATTCTACCTTACGTACATGTATCAATGTATGTGATACTTCATTCTACTCAATTACTCATGCATGGTAGTTTACCCGTCCTAAAACTTATTTACTATACTAACTTTACAGAGTTAAAATATTGTGTTCACAAGATATGGAATATGATAAGATAAATGGATTCACATAGATAAAGTTGAATTAAAAAAATAATATACCAAAAATGGATAAACCGAAAGAGCATTACTTGCAAATATAGTCGAGTTGAACAGGTGGAGACACGTATGTATGATAGCTTTAATCTACAAATTCTCTCGTTTGCGGATTTTGAAAAAGGAGGAGAAAAAGAAGGACTCTGATTGGCTGAAAATGGCTTAAGAAGAAAGCAAAAGAATCACTTTCAACGGGACAACATGATTGGGCGGCTTATATCCATGGACACATGACCTAACAAACAGAATCGAACCTTGCTAAATTCCCACAAATTTTATACTAATCCCTTAGCTTAGCTAATAGTATAGTACCAGATCTCTCATGTCATACTAAAGATTAAATTTATAAACCACTACACAATATGCAAATGGAATAACCCTAGCTAGCAGGGAATTTAAAGGGAATATTTGTGCTTTTTTGGTCCGAAATATATATATATATATGACATTCAAATCGAGACGAATCAGTACGTAGATATATGTGTGTGAAAATTGTGAATATATATGTTAAATTGAGAATATCGAAGGTTTTAAATTGGTTTTATTTTTCGTTAATAATTCAGTTAGGTTAATAAGCGGATCGAAGTAGACAGATAATTAAAAATCTATATGGGCTTTCACTATTATTTAAGAAAAAAATATTACTAAAACAATGACAAATTTGCATGTCATTCCCACATAAGTAAACTTAAATCACTGCAATACACTATAATGGAGATAACAACTGATATGAACATTACCCAAATCACACATGCCGGTAGTTCAATCAATTACACTAATTAGAGAAACGATATGAGTATGAACGAATTAGGTCAACTATATTAATATAAAAAAAGTAACAAAAAATTTTAATTTTATTTTTATAGTCATGAAATTTGACCTCTTTCTATTTTCTAAACCTTACACGTTTAATATTTTAGACTAATTATATTTTAAATGTTTCATAAACTTTATTTGACAAACTTTTTCAATTATTTTCTTATTTATTTTGTCCTTCTCTCAAACGACAAAAGTAATGTGTAGGGTAGTGTTACGTATAGTTTGCCTATGTCGTCCACTCATACAAAAAGACGATGATGTTGATCTCTTTCATCCATTTGAAAGCACATTTACAGGCATTCACAAATTTTACGAAAGAACAATAAAGGAGCTACTGATATCTCAAACCAAATCTGTTGAATTATTTGGTCTGACCAAATTATAAATCACAGGAAGGTTGATGGAAATTTCATGCTAAAATAATACTAGTATTATATTCTTGTCCCTC